CTTGACCTCTCGCCATGTATGGTTACATTTCGCCCAAAATTTGTATTTCTTGATCCTCCTGGCCGGGCAAGCTTTTATACCAACTATGCTACAAACTTCGACTGAGGGTGAGGAAATTGCTTTCAAGACGGTAGATTTAAACGAATTACCACCAGATGAACCGCCGATTCCGCGTCCGATCTGTTCTGCGCCGCCCACTCCCTCCTTGGATGCTCCAGCAGAAAATTCTATAACGCAAGGATACTCAATAGGACTGCACTCGGCGACCACCCCGCCGGGGTTATTTCCCCTAAATGGACACTCAACTGTTTCCCGCAAGCGGACGAGTTTTGAGAGTGCTGATACCGATGTCGAACCAAGAACAAAGTTGGACCCTCTTGAGTCTGAGGGGAAAAGAAGCATCGTTCCTGTGGAATACCAACCAAACTGGCCAGTCGAGGATCACGAAAGTAAACAGGGAGGTGACACTGCTAATGAGATCTACTTGAGACAAACAGGAAAACAACCAATTCAAAGCTACAAGAATGCACCAACTGATCAAGATCCAAAAGTCTTCCAACTTGAAGAAACTGAAAGAAACCGCGTACTGTTCAATGTCATAGACTGGAGTTTTGTCGTCCATGAGTCGAACATGGAACTTACCAAGGATCACCAGCACAAGGTGGAATCCGATGGATTTAACCCTAGGATGCTGTTCAAAGTTTTAGAGAAATTGAAAAGCAAACTCAAAACGAAAAAGAAACTCAAGCCTCATCAAAACATTAACGCGTATTTCTGGATTCCAAGAGAATATGCGACAGAGTTTCTGGAGGCGTATAGAAACAGAAGATCAATAATTCCCTATCCATCACGCTTTGAATATCGTACCAGAATGTCGCACGTTTATAAGACGATCTTGAAACTTTCAGACGAAAAACTTCAACTTGAAAGGTACCCGATCTTCTCTGAAGGTATCGTAACCCACATGAGCTCAAGACTTGAAGAACTCTTAGCAAATGTTCCTCACAGCGCATTAGAACAAAAGAGGCCAATCCAAGGCAGGATTGAGGTCATAGAAAAACTGACAAAATCCACCACTTTCCTCAATTTGATCTATCTCTCTTTTTTGAACGAACACGAAAATGGACAATTGACAAGAGGCTACGTTGATGATTTCTTGGATTTCCTCAAAGAACTCTGGACAGATATTATAATCGGTAAAGATGATAAGCTGATGCGTCAAAATCCATTTGCTGAGAGACTGCATGATTTGTTCCACTTCAAAATGCCTTGGGGACCTGTAAACCGTCCCTCAAACTCCCTGAGAATAGCCTGGGATATTATCCAATACTGGGCAAAGGAAAACAATAGATTTTTTCCAGATTGTGCTGATAACCTCTCTGAGCTAGTCAGCAAGATAATATTTTTCTCAAACTATAACATCATTATTCATGAAGCTGATGATGAAGTGAATGAAGAAGCTGAAGAAAAACCATGGCTTCTTTTCTAGTGTTTTTATAGTTCATTAATTTTTACAATGAAGTGCACCATTTTCATATTTGCAAACCTCCCATTTTGAGCTTAGATTTTTTGTTTTTCAAAAAGGCTCAGCTGTAAACCACTCATTCAGAACTGTATCAGGGCTCAATCTATCTTCTAAAAAATCAATTCACTTTAAGCGCCCAAGCCATAGCACCCAGAAAAAAATTCCAATTACGTTCTTGAGTTTTGGTTGTTTCACAAACCCAAATTCAACTTTGGTTTTGCACCAAAAACCAGAAAAAAAAGGATGATCTATGGTACACCAGTTCATCTGGATGAATTCTCCAAGTTGGGAATTGGAAATTGATGCAAAATTGGTGGCTGTGGTACAGGGCCTAATCAATCTTATTCTGCTGAGGTGATTTTGGATATGGTTTTGAAAGAGGTTCATCTTAGGAGCCACATTTTTTGAACTTATCTATGTATATGCTGGTGAAGAATACAATAGCTTACCACAGAAACTGACTGCTGAAGATTTTGAGGAATAATGATCACACTTTTAGAAGAAGAATATTGGGAAAGCTATATGGTTTCCTGGGGAAGATTCAGATATCATGCTGATGATCTGTGAAAGCATTTAATGGTTGGAGTTGAATATTTTTGCATCAAGGAAGCCTACCAGCTTTCTTTTTGAAAAATCCAACATTCATGGAGAATCTATTTTTTTCATCTGTTGAAAGTACTTATAATCAACAGTGGGCCAGCTACGCTGACTTCAGCATCAGTGAAGCGTAGTGCAGCAAGATACTACTAACACTGCAGATATTTTCTGTTAGCTGTTGGTGGTATCACACTGTTGCTGGTGGCCATGGGATAAATTTTGACGCCGCTATGCAGCATTATATCCCTTTCACTACAAACAATACCAGTTTTGCACCAGGAAAAAATGGCAATTTGGGTGGTGGAAGATAGGTCAATTTCCTGAGGCTTTTTTTTACAAAATGACTCAGGAGTAAAAATTAGGCTGAAATGAGCTATTTTAGCCAAGAAAATAAAAATGACTCAAACGAGCTAAATGTTAATTTTGGAATGTTTGAGGCTTCTTCATTTTTGGGCTAAAATAGCTCATTTTAGCCTGATGTTTACTCCTGAGTCATTTTGTAAAAAACACCTCAGGAAATTGACCTATTTTCCACTACCCAAATTGCTATTTTTTCCTGGGGCAAAACTGGTATTGTTTGTAGTGTTTGTAGGGGGGGGGGGGGTTCACAAAAAGCAGTGTAATGCAGCGGAGTGTTAGTGTAGTGTTGCTAACAGCCCGCTAAAGCTACAGCATCACAAGCAGTTTTTCAGGCTCACTCCGCTGCTAGGGGGTTGTTTTAGAGATTGTTCCGCGGTACCCTTTGCTAGGTACCTAGTACCGCTTGGGGGGTACCCTTCACACCCGCCCCGCACCTGTCGGGAGGTGCCAGGTGCGGTACTTGGTACCTATTTTTGTGAAAAATTGAACAGGTACCTAGGTACCGCTACAGGTACCCCCTCACTTCCCTACCAAAATGACGGTGGCCTTCTACTCCAAGAACTCCAAGAAGGTACCTTGGCTACATGGAAACAGGGACTCAAGGATAACAAGAAGTCTAACCAAAAATTAAAAAGGAAGGTGATAGTTTTGGACAACAATGAAGATTCTTCTAATAATCTAATTAGATATAATTTGTAGACAGTTTAAGCTTTAAAATAAATTATTAAATGTGAACAAATGAAAAAATTGACTTGGGATTGATGTTTTACAATAAATATGAAAAAAGGCAAGATTATTCCCATTAGATGTAGACACTTGACAACAAATATGAAAAAAATGCCAAAAGAGTGACTTGAGTAATATTTTACAATAAATATGAAAATAATAATAATAATGAAGTAAGGTTCTTCCAATTAGTTTAAGATGTCTTACAACAAATATGACAAAAGGAAAAACAGTGACTTGGGAATGATATTTTCAATAAATATGAAAATATAATAACACAGTAGGATTCTTCCAATTTGTTGTCAACATTTCACAATAAATATGAAAGAATGGAAAAAAAGTGACTTGGGACTGATATTTTACAATAAATATGAAAAAAATAATAATAATAAAGTGACTTGGTAATCTGAAAGTGAACCTAGGTTAGAAAGAGAGGGGAGGTACCCGCGGTACCCGCCAAAAGTACCGCCGGTACCCGCCGGGAGGTGCCTGGTGCGGTACTTGGTACCTATTTTTTGAAAAAATTCAACAGGTACCTAGGTACCAACAGGTACCCGAGTACGAACAAACGATCTCTAGGTTGTTTAGCATAGTTCAGTGGAGTGGACCACCATTGCTATAATGATCATGCACATTGGAAGCCACCACAACATTTTGGTTTGGTTTAATTGACTGCACAGCATAACCATATCTTATAAAAAACAGTGTCCTCAAGCAATGTTGTTGATAAGCCAAACAATGACTGTGAGAGCTATATTATGGACTATCTTGGTGAAAGTCCAGTTGTTGTTGCATCACAGCTGTGCAATTACTAGTTGTTTGAAGTCATTGTGAAAAAGCCCACAGAAACTTTCTCCTCCTTTTACAACTAAATTTGCAACATGACCTTTATCATGTACACTGACAATGTATGACGTAGAAATTGATCATGTTACACAGTTAAATGGGTGGCCTAAGTTAGTCTGAAAGAACCTCCCAGCTTGAAGAATTCTGTCCGCAGAAACAAAAACAAAAAAATGAGATCCATGTGGTCTAAAGACTACACCAATTAAATTATCCCCACTACAACCCATATTTTTTTGTAGTGCTGACCGGACCATAAGCCATATGTTAACAAAACCTTTGAAAATCTGCGCCCAAACTCACTTTCATTTGATCAGCATGGAGAAAACTTGATTCTTTAGCTAGTGAAGGAATGGTGTGATGTGGTTTTTTGATGGCTTGAGAGAGGGAAGATGGGATCAAAGAATGGCATTGTCTAGGGATGCTGACTTCTGGATTGTAAACGACACTGTAAGCCGTGTTCGTGGCTGTTCGCAGGCTTTTCAGATTTTGTTTGAATCAGAGCGTCTGCTGATCTACCGATGTCTGCTAGACATGTACACCAAACTGAAAATACATCGGCTGCTAACTAAAAAAACTTCAAGGCTGCGTTTTCCTCGAGAGACCAGTTTGGCCTTGGTGATTTTTCCCAGTTGGGAACCGTCTCCTCACCGCTTGATTAGGACCAGGTGATTGTTTCATCGTGCCTTAAAATAAGCATGTACGTACCTCAAAAATCCAGGTGTCGAGGGGCAGATAACCAATAAACATGCAAGGATAGTGTTACCTCCCAGCGCAAAGGAATTGCTCATTCCAACTCACCTCCCTTAATATCAAGAAACCGGGTGGCTTTACTAGGTATCTTCAAATAGTCTAAAAGGAGAGTTGAAGGATCGGCTGGGTCAGCGGAGGGTTTTACATGGACTAAATGGAAATAAGTAGAGAGAGGAAGACAAACAAACAACATCACCTTTAATGCTGCTTTATTTTTGACAAAGTATACGGCGCGACATGATTGGTCACAACAGGATTGGTTGCAACAGCCTTGATCGCGTCAGGCTGAATCGCGTCAGGTTGGGTCGTCTCAGTCACGCCCCACAGACTCGAGCTTTTCCTCACTTGATTCGACTTATAAAAGACCATCCCAACCGCCCCAATTTGTCTCCCATCAGTTCCAACTTCCTCCCATTCAGAGATTCGTCTTCCACACTTCCCCCTCCCAGCAGACTTATATGTACTGCACAATCCTTCTGCTTTCTTACATTTTTTAGATTCTGGGAAACTTTCACTTCCCCTCCATCTTCGTGCCTATTGCACTCAGTCTGCATGCTTCCACCTCCCACACTCTCCAGTTTCTCCGGATCGTTCCGATTCCGTCCATCTTGAACTTTGGGGCAAATATTCAACCCGAGCTTGCTTTTGAAAGGCGATATCCCACAGGGTTTTTTTACCCCAATTCCTTTGATTATGGATGTCTGTTTTGGTTCGTCTTCTTGGGAATGCCCCCACTCCATCGTACTTGACCTTCGCCGCTCTCACTCAACAAACTCTCCAATATCCTTGATATTTGGATGGCCCCTTCTTCAAGAACCAATACACTTTTTATCGTTTTATTTCTCAGCTGTGGGTGTATAACTTCATTCCTCTAGCCATACCCTTGATGCAGATGAGGTCAATCAGCCATAACATCTCTGAAGACAAATTTCAAGATCCCATGATGAAGCATCATCATCAGAAGAGAACGATTTTCGGGTTTTTTGTTACGGTGTATCTGGCTGGAATGAAATGCTACCGAAGCCTCATGTCATGACCTACTTCTTCAAGAATTCCGATTATTCTATACTCCGTTTTATTTTTGTTCGTCAAGGCTACTTCGCGAGCTCGAACAGAAGCGCTGGTCTAGCTATCATCATCAGCCAATTCGGCGCAATCCTGGTGCTATTCTTCTAGATCCATTCGGATGAACTTTCCCGAACAACTTTCAAAATTCATCGTTCATTTTCTTGGTTTTGCTTCACATCTTTTATCTGGCTGAAGCAGGTCGCTTGATTCCAAAAATTTTAGTTTTCAAATTCATCTAACATGTGATGAATCAGAAGTCTTGGTTGCGGGGAAGATATCCCCCGATGATGGATTGTTCACATATGGGTGTGTCCAACAAAATGAGCAGCAACATTCACCTTTTTTTTTCTTCTTTTTTTCACTTTGAATCGGCTTGTCGCCTTTGATGAGCAACTCGCACACACCAAAAAAACTCTTCTACTTGAACCAGGTGTGTTGGACTGCATATGTGAGCTAAATTCTGCCTTTTTCCTAACAGCAACAAGAACTGATCGCAACTCGTGCTGACTTATTTTCCCATCTTCTTAGTATCAGTCTCAATATTCAAAAGTGAAGCAGTCTTTTCACACAAGTTTTGCGGTCATATCCGCTCAGCCACTTTTTAGACTTAGTTGCATTGGTGTCTCATGGGTGGAGACGCTTTCATAGACCACCTCTGATATTTCCCTGCCATCAAATAAACGGTTCAGCTGGACATCAGGTATGTAGTCATATAGTTAAATTTATCATCAGACAGACCATATAGCTGATAGACTTCCTTGTTAATTATTCTTTTTCCCATCCAACAATCATTCAAGCACCGGCTGCTCTTCCACTGTTTGATTTTTAGTGTGATGATCGTGGTCCGCTTATGACGAGGGATGAATCCCTGAGCGATAGGATGTATCCTGCACTGCTTTTAGCGAAAGTCACTCCTCGCATATGGCTTGGGGATGTTCCGCTTATTTCAAGTCACGGGATTTTTTCTACCAGCTGACTCTCAAGCTTTCGCTGATCAACCTCTCCCTTCTACATATGCGGTCACTTTAGAGAAGTGGACTTGAGGGCATATCCTTGCATTCATCCTTTGAATACCTACTCCCAGCATATGATCCGATGTTGGTGCGCTACAGGATCACCTCTCATTTTTTCGGGAGAGAAACCCTCGCCGATGGTTTTTGCACTGAAGTTCATGATCTGGATCTGATTCATTAGCATTAAATGCTAAATCGGCAGCTCAGATCTCATGGGATGAGGCTCCAGCACAGAAATGTTGTACAATGTGTTGCATCGTTTTGGTTGCTCTTTCGGTTTCAATATCCGGCTATGAGACAAACTTGAATCTGACATCGCGTTACACATAACAAGTGTATGCGAAACGCGATTGTGTTGAAGAAGCGCAACCTAGTCATAGGAAACCAAGGGTCTTTTGAAGAATTCTACGATTTTGGACGTTAGACCTCGGGAACATCCGATCTTTTGGTCCCGTGTGCCTGTGGCATCTCGGCTGAAGTTGTCTATTAAAAGTGTAGTCTTTGCATCTTATCCACCTCGCGAAAAAGCGAAGTGGCAAAATCGATGATTGTCAATTTGTAGAACGAAGATATCACCTTCATGACAATCGTTGATTCTTTTCCTTCTGGTTTGCTTTCGAGAGAGCCCAACCTCCCATCGATTGGAGACTAGAGTGCGGCTAGATGTTGCTGCGGAATTCGGGTCGCGGTCAAGATGCGGAAGTCTGAAGAAACCAGAACATTGTTCGTTCCGCCCTGATGATCTCACAGCAGCTTTTACCTCACACATTTTCCAAAGAATTTGTGCTTCATTAACATAGAGCAGAGAAACACCATTCCATTTTGATCATCAGATCCGCTCAGCGCGGGGGGTGATGCCCGGTGGGCTCGTGTGGATTGGTGTAGCTGGTCTCCCATGCTTTGTTTCCAGCACGTATCAGAACTGGGGGAAGCCTCATGAAGTGGGAAACAGATCTTCATGGCTTAATCCAAGGTTAAGCAGCCAACTACAGCCTGGCTCAGGGTCCGGCAGATTGAATGCCCTGAGTGGCAATATATATTAGCCCTTGATTGCTTTTGCAACTCTACGGACGGGGCCCCAGTGCTCCGGTTTGTTGAAGCATGGAAAAATCATTGTGGTGTCCACGTGACTTATCTAGGGCCACTCCACCCCCGCCAACACAATCATTATCATATTCTCTGTTATGTGGAAGGGAGCATCATATGATAGAGGTTCCTCCAACTCATCTTACGTGCTCTCGTTTAGCACATTCTACTCGAAAGCTCATCATAGGGATTATCCTGGCAAGTTGTTTAATGCCCCAGTCATCACATCGTGATGTTTGTGACTAATTCGAGGCAGTCCGGCTGTTTCGCTAATGCGGTTATTTGTCCTCCTAATCAGTCGACCATGTAAACCCGGCAGAAGGCGGCCGGGCTAATATCATGCCAAGTACATCATTTTCACCCTTGTCCAAGCGGTTGCACATACATTTTACAGCAAGGGCATTTTTCAGATATAAAAAAGGCTCCACATCCCTTCTCTTTTATCATCTCTATCTCGCGAATCATCGCTTAGACTTTTTCTCATCCACGGTACCACTTTTGACCCGCTGCCATAAGCCCATAGTTTGTCTCCATATACAGCAAGGGAAGAGACTGGAAGCTTGTTTCCTGCTCTTCTATCACTGCCGTGATTTTATCATCATAAGTCTGTCGACGATCACTTCGGTTCCGATGGCTAGATCTGGGATACGGGATTCGCCGCCACTCAAGCGACCCGCATCATCCGGTAAGATGACTCGACTGGATCTTCTCACAAACCAACGAGGAGACATCTTGTAGTCAACTAGGAAAGCTCATCCGCCCTGCTCTTTATGGACTCGCTCTAAAAAATGAAAAGATCACGATATGGATTTGGACGATGGACCAGGCCCGAGGCAAAGACCAAGGGGCCAAACGATCTGTCAACCCAGAATCAATTTGTCCGAACGTGGTGGTGAGTTTGCATTTCTTTTCCTACAACATCATTCTAGATAAGACAAAAAAAATAAGAAATATCGTGGATATTTCCCAATCTTCAGGTCGACCAGAGATTCAAACCAATTACGTCCAAAGTCCGATCGTGAGTCCGTGTCCTTCGAACAAAGCTTTACTACGTGATCTTGCGAGGCTGGCCACGGTTTTTGATGACGTGAGGGATAGAAGGACTACGACATCGCCGAGGGGCCAAGAAGATGGTAAGAACACGACTGATGTGAAGTTTTTGTTGATGATGATCAAGCCTGCTGAAACCTTCCGCTAGCGAGTTTCCCCGATCCTCCTCAAAGGGTCGATTCGAATATAATAGAAAGTTCCAATCCCGTTGAGGCGGCGAATGGGATCGCAGGACCCAGCGGCTTCAAACGCAAAATTCAAGCGAGCAATCCCATGGGTTTGTTGACCCGCTTTTTCTGCCTGTTGACCCTCATCGGTAGCAGCACATAAAATTCTTCGCAGATTATTTATTCGAGTGGTTTTGTTTATCTGGTATTGTTAGCTCCCTCCCATCCGAAGCATGTAAGACGTACTAGCCCGAGCTATTTTGAAGAAGCCGGACGGAACTCGGGTCCACCTCAAAGCGGAAGCCACCTCAACCCGACCAACGGGCACTCAAGTAACAGGCGCTGACAGAGTGTTCATCTTTTCAATTACTGGTCAAAAACCTATTCATGGAGAATGTCTTCCAGTCAACCTCTTGGCATACCTAGCACTGTTTTGGCAACTCCTCGTCCAACTTTTTCAAATATTCATCTAACCAGTAAAATAGAAATTCAAGATGTGCTTAAAAATAAATATGCACAATGATGAATAAACCATGTAAAATTATAAGGCTTTAAGGAATAAGATACTTTTCTTCTTATGTATTTAGAAGCTACATCCATCCCTTTTGAATCTCATTTATTTCTTCCTACTCCATTCCAAAAATTAAATTTAATCAAGTAAGGATGGACTGAAAATTTGATTTGAGCTGGTGCTTGTGTCAAATAAGGGTGCTTATGTATTTTCAGAGGGAATTGTACAAGTAGAGATGGCACTTTGGCACCTGTTGGGGGGTACCTGCCACACTTCAGATCAAGCCCTCCACACCACCAGCCACTATAAATACCAGTGGAGGGTCCAGTACTAAAAATTCATCATTACTGAACCCTCTATAAGCATTGATGGTGTCTGGGGGTGTGGAGGGAGCATTTTGAAGTGTGTCAGGTACCCCCCAACAGGTTCCAAAGTGCCATCTCTATGTACAAGAGCTTAAACCTTCAGCCATTCTTTGAATTTTGTAATACTTACTAATTATACTCAAGTCCAACTCAATTCCTTCAATTAAATGGATGCTGCTTTCTGTGTTGCAAAAATGTCCCTCTTCTAGATGTATGAATATGCAAGCCATTTCAGAGTGACTTTCCCTGCTCTCATGCTGGACATGAGACTCCACAATCATTTATGAATATGCCTAACATGAAATTTGTTGGATTAGCTACATTTGGAACCAGCTAGTTTTAAAATTCCATTCACCTGTTAGATCAAAGCTCCAAGTCCCAGCCCACTTTCATGGAAGTCCTTCTGATTCCTTCCTGGAGACCCAGGAGCTGATTCACATATTTCTTCCATTGTACTAACCAAGCACAGGATTGAATTGTCCTAACACTTTGGAAATAATCCATCTGGCTGTGAAATACAATAAAAATGTGTTGAACATGGTAGTTTATGTGTTGTCAATAAACCTTTTTAGTTTTGTTGAAAGAAAAAATTATGTTCTTGGATTAGAATGAGAATTGAAGCTTGGTGATAAAGTACAATTCAGGATATACAAGCTTTGAAAATATGCCCTAGGATGACATAAAGCAGATGTTGGAAGATTTTGAATTGCAGGGAAAATTGCAAAATGAAATGGTGGAGTGAACAATTTTTGCTCAAATTGAAAGTTTTAACTTAACATTAGACACTTGGGTACCACACTATCAGGACAAGCTAGCTATACTCTTACTTTTGAAATGTATTAGCTATCTTCAAACTTGGTGAATCTGATAAAATTTGGCTGGAATATAGTTTCCCCTTTACTGTGCAAAAGATAGGTAGAGAGTAAAAAAAAATTTCAATATAGAGAGATGAAAGAATGGGCTCTATGACAAGCTGTATGTTAAGATTCTAGTCAAAAAAATTAGCAATGACCTGATGTGGTTTGTGAATGATTCTTCTTGTTTTATAGAATAAATGTCATTGGTCATACATTGTGAAACAGGTGACAGACAAAAGATGATGCAAAAGGTAGAAATCAGTGTAAGTGGGGCAATGTAGATGGTTTGAAAAAGCCCGCAAGCACCCTCTGGACAGCCTGTGCCCAACCTGCACTGTTTACTGAATTAATAGGCCAGGCCAAAAACAAGAAATTTTCAAAAAAAAGTTATCTGTGTCCAGCCCAAACCAACAGTCATTCAGGTGCCTGGTCCAATTACCATCCTTACCTCCAAAGGGAGGGACTTATGCACCAAGTCCACCCCGTGACCTGAGAGAATTTGAAAACTGGCATGTTCCAATGCTCTTTAGCATTGTCATATCGCATTGTGTGATTACACTTTGAAGATGCCAAAGGTTGGAGGAGCGCTCTTCCAAGATTTCCTCAATTTTCTAAGGCCTCGAGTAGCATTCAGTTTCCTTATTTGTATCTCACATTCCATCCGCTTGATCTATTGCTGTACACTTTGCATGGTACACAAACCAAAACACAAGATCACACAACCAGCATTGTCAATCCAGAAAATGGGTTAAGCATGAAAGAAGGAGGCTAAGTGAGGCTTATTTTAAGTCACCACCAAAAACTGTTATTCTCTGGGGCTGTGGGGGTGACTTGAACCCGTAAGCCGCGGTAGGAGGGAGGTACTTGGTTAAGTTAGGGATCTCGTGGACATGTTTGGGGCCTTTTGGGGCTATAACCACATTGCATCACATGCGCTTCAGATGTTTCAATGAAGACTGAATGGAGCTGAAAGTATGTAAATGTACCGCACGTGCACAGAAATTGAACATGACGTGTCTTGTTGAAGGTTCTGAACCTAGCATGAGCTGAGCGCTGGTTTTGTCAGCCCCGATGTGAGGTGATACACCGGGCACCAATTTGGTCCGATAAGTATTGTCACACATGGCCAAGCTCCTTGGATCGTCGCAGACGACATAATAGTGGGACGAATCTTCCACTCGAGGCATTGAGACAAAACAGGCCCAGTTCACGCTTTCTTTGCTTCACGTTCGAAAGAAAGACATGATTTTGAATTGCCAACGACTAGCTTTTCTCATTTTGTGCTGCACACAAGTGGCTCACTATGTGGCCCAACCAGGGGCATTGCGGATGAGACAGGAAGCCGAGCAAGTGCATGAAGAAGGTATTATCTACAAATTTCATTTCCTCTTATCTATCATGATCTCTCCCAAGTCCGCAATTCATGCGAATTTGACCCTGATCAGGATGTGTTCTAGTTTTGGCAGCATTTGCAACAGGTTTTGATCGGGATCCTGTAAATAGTCACAACCCTTCAAGCTCTGAAAGCGTACCATCTGGCAAAATCACAGAGGCTCAATCAGCGGCGTTTCTGGAGCAAGAAAAGAATGAGCAAACCGGTCCTCCCATAGCAATCAAGAGCCAACCTACAATCACCCAAAAACGTCAGTTCCATGCCAATTCTAGTGCGGGCTGAAGTCGAGTAACTAGAAAACAGGTTTTTTTCGTGGCTGACTTTTGTCTGAATTATTAGAGCTTGAGGGCTCTCTGGAATGGAAACAAAGTATGTAGTGGGTTTCATGACATTGATACAGGCCTTTTTTTTAAGAAAAAAAAAATTGATTGGATTACAAACACTTTACAGGACGACAGGCACTAGAACAAGAATTTGAGACAATACGAGAACAGCTGGAGATGTTTAAGAAAAAGATAGGGAACGTCCCATGGATCAAGGTGTACCGACACACTGATTTGAGGACAGCGATTCGATACATTAAAGAAGAGAGAACGTTGATGAAAAACTTGCGGAAGCTGCAAGCAATTCTTGAGCTCATAGGACTTTGCAAACGAGATCGCTTGTTCAAGCTTACTGACAAGAGAATCGTTCTTGCGCCCCTTGAAAACGTTGGCCTAACGACACCGAAAACATCCATGAGATCTGTAAGACAATTAGCATCAAAGGCCATCTCGACGCGAAGGAAGTAAGTCATCTTTGTCTCGTCTATACGTATAATTCAAAACAGCATTGCTGTCGATGATGAGATATTCGGATTTCTTACCATTGACGTGTAACCAATTTTCAGATTAGTCAAGTCTTATAAAGCCCAAGGAAAAAGTTCGACCATCCCAGTTAGAAATATAAACGCACAACAAAAACCCTTGTCGAAGAATTCTGGAACAGATGTATCTCTTATGGGAAGTTATCTTGAAGCAGGAAAACTGACCGGGAATGCCCTCGATGCAGTTATGGATAGGGTCACCTGGGGATGGATCGAAAGGCTCAACAAACTGGTACATGACATCATGCCGATTGAAACGGCGGTTGAGATGATTGAGAGCCAGACAAACAATGGTCATCTCGAAGGCTTTAAACCATTCCTCCTACAACAATTTGTGTTCAGAACAATCAAGTTTATTTACAAGAATGGAATGATCCCTTCAAGCCATCTCAAGGATTTCTTGGCTTTCAAGGACACTGAAAGATTAGCTTTAATGAATGTCTATGAAAGTACCCAGACACTCCCTCCTATAGTCATTCAATATTTGGAGGCAGTCTTTGGCTTCGATTATCCAATCTTTTTTCTTGAATCAGTGATTGAAAGTAAGCTTGCCACTCATTTACAGATCACTCCAAGCCCACACTGACAGTCACTATGTAGCTGATGGTGTTTTTTTTGATTTTCATTGAAATCTGGCACAGGCAACCATGAATTTTACAGGTATCTTAGGCAACTTCCATGATTCTTAATTATTTTCCCCACAGTAATAATGTGTACAGTCAACTCCCCCTTGAGCCCACGACCTAGTATCCCATAACCCCCCTTAAACCATAAATTTTCCTTTGAAATTGGTCGACCAAAATGGGCAAAATGCCTAAAAGCTTGACTTATTAACCCATACTCCCCCTTAATCCATAGAAAAACATGCCCACCAAGGGGTATGGCTGGATAGGGAGTTGACTGTAATTGTGCTTTCCTAAGTATATCACTCATGGCTTTCATGTGCACTGGTTGCAGTTTTAAAATACAAATGTCTGTATTTAGGGTTGAGGGTGACATTTACATGCCTGTGAAGTGCAACAGGAAGTCTATCAATAAACCTTGGAATGCAAATCAATAAATCATGTGGCACATTCTCACCACATGACTGAAATAGTTGTGGAATCATACATACATAGATACATGTACATGTTCCTCAACATCCAATCATTTTGTTGTTGATTTTTTTTTGTTCATTCCAGATTCTACAACAGGTTATTTATAAACCTGATTAACTTAATAAAGCCAGTCCACACTATTTCCACACCATGTGCCATCTGAAAACCGAAAGCTAGGACAAAAAAAGTGAGGGAGACTGATTATTGGTTTGCATTAAGAGAAGAGAAAGCAGATCAGCTTCAGTACGCCAATAGATGACCAAACAAAAGTAACGATAAGTTTTTCGTGGAGTACATAATCATACATCAAATTAAGAGCTAGGATATGGTAATAAACAAAATCTCAGAATGTTAACAACAACAACAAAAACAAGGGCGAAGGAAGCGGATATTTTGATCGACGACTGGATGATTTAATCCGACGAGAAAAGACGAGGCGAGTGCGTTAAACTTTCCCAGGAAGCCGATTTTCCGACCCAATACAAATGAGTGGTAAAAGAAGGACTACGAAGGGTGATGACTTTCGGGCCTTATTAAACCATCACGACCAGAAGACGAAGACGACGACGACGAGGAGGAAGACGAGGAAGGAAGAGGCGAATGAGGAGGAATATGTGCGGAAGGAGGATGAGGAGGATGAGGATGACGGAGGCCGAGTTGATGATCATCAAGATCGAGGCAACGAGCGATGCGATGGATCTGACGGACAAAGAAGACGAGGAGGGAGCGAAGGAGATTACGAAGGAGGGAGCCGAAGGAAGCGACGAGTGCGTTGAGCAGTCGGGCGAGGCTGGCAAGGAGGACGGTCTCAATGAACTCGGCTACCTGGAGACTCGGGTCCCGCTCGATCGTCGAGACCACGGCCTCGACCATTGCAATCACTAGTTTTGCGTCCGTCGACCCCGCCCCCCTTCCTTCATCTTCCTCGGCATCTTCGCCTTCAGTTGTGCTGGACTTCGACCCCCGCTTCTCTTTCTTGAGGACCGGGCTCAGCTGCTCTGGCTGCTCAGTTGCGGAATCTTGAGCTAGTCGACGACGTGAAGGATGGTCCCTACGAGGGGCAGGACGATGGAGGCCAGCTTGCTTGATTAACTCATTTGCATGGTGTTCCATCGTCCGACGTTTGTTCGAAACCTCATGCCGGCGTTGGCGCAAGACTTCGCCGGAGCTGGTCAGCTGTTTAAACAATTCCCAGGTCTGGGGGTCGACCTTATCCCAGCTGAACGCCCGGGCCGAGACTGATAGTTGGCGTTGCTGATGGCTGTGCTGATGGAATGGATCGCCAGACGAGTGCAACGGGCGGTGTTCGGGCCCAGTGAGCGGAACCGTTGTAGAGTGACTAGGCAGAAGCGGGTCTGAGGGCAAGAACGAAAGCAACTCAGTCGCCAACTTGTTCTGTTCGACATATCCTTCTAATCGGTCCTTGACCTCTCGGGACTTGATCTCGGCTTCTTTTGCAGTCGAATCGTACTGTCTTTCTAAGATCTATCAACGAGCACCTCAAAGATTGGCCAGAGATAAAAAAACGGGATGAGGAAGAGTCAATTTCGTAGCTGGTTGTTTTTTAAAAGAGTGAGGATGCATATTTAAATCGATTGATTGTTTACCTCGAAAGCCTCAAGCACCGATCTCTGCTCTTGTTCCATCTTTTTTAGCTGACGATACTTCCAAACCAACTGAACCTCCAAGTTCTGCTTCCTTCTGTTATCAGAACCAGACCAAAAACAAAATCACATTGAGTCTCCCACATCGTGCAACTGCCATGCAAAAGGTATCCAATTAGAAATGGGACTCAACACGGAGTGCCTGACGGGAACATGGTTGTAATCTTGAGGGATCTGAATAGTATGGCGGCGCTTGGCAAAGGTCATCTTGCAGACAGACTGGGCCCGGGTCTTGGGGAAGACGGCCTCATAGTTATAGACGGCGGTGGCTCGATCAGTCGGGCCATTGAGCTCGTCGTCAGAGTTAATCACCATCGAGGTCTCTAGCTCTTCGTCGTCGCATTTCTGGAGTCCGATATGGTCTGTGTGTGCTCGACTGTACCGCATCCGACTATCCAATCTCAAAAAAAACTTCGCTGATCAGTAGACTGATTCCAGTAAAGATCAAAATTTTGATTCAGGGATCATAATACCTCATGTGTTTATCTAGATGTGGAAACTCGTCTCGAGAAAGCTCAAGCGAATTGAGCCTCGAAATACCAGCCTGAGAAACGTATCCCTCACTACCGGCATCGCTCGAATTTCCAGGACCAGAACTTCCTGCTAAGATTGAGCAAGCCAAGACATTAGACCAGGAGAGACTGGTTGAACAGAGATAGGAGATTGACCTTTCTTGAATGCTTTGAATCGTTTGGGTTTCTCGCGGCGGTCCTCGGGGACCCGGGCAACCTCTCTGTGAGAACATAACCCGATATTAAAGAATGACGCAAAGTCAGAATACAGATAATGATTGAAGAGGAGAGCAAGTAAACAACTGACGAGGTGTCTAGTGGTGGTCCGAATTCGGCATGCGATGGAGAAGATAAATTAGGCGAGCCATTGTTGTTCCGAGGCAACGAGATGCGTTCGGTGAGACTACATAAGTCGGGTTAACTCAGGTTAGTTGACCAATCAAGTAAGTAATGAAAGAAAGCAAAAGACGAAACTCGGTGATTGCATCGACAACCTTTCCAGCATGGTAGATCCCAGCGCCGACGCTCCTACCAGCACTAGCGACGCCTTTGACGAACGGTTTCAGGAAAGTCTTGCCACCACCACCGATGGGCGAATGGTCGAGGGCTGGGTCGGGGAGGTCGTCATCAGCAGATGGCATGGTGGTCAACCAGAGTGGAAGGAGGCCGAGTGGAGGTGGAGGAGATGCCCCGTTGTCTGGACAGTGGGCCGGGCCGCCCCCAAAGCACAACGACTGGCTTTAATTTGTGCCGCATGTCCACGGCCCAGGCCCATGGATTATGGACCCGGACGCATGATAGGCTTTCAATCTGCTATCATCCATCCAGAAGTGGCTCAGACCTCACACATACATACATAGAAATTGTTTCTTATTCTGGCTGGAGACTTGTGTGAGCTTCACTTTGCACTACCACTTCAGTAGTGATGAGCAAACTCTTCATAGAGCTACCTTCCAAAAATCATATAGTTTAGATTACAAGAACAGACCAACGAAACGAGAGAAAACAACAGATGAGGGAGACGGATGGATAAAACAAGAACTACATGCAAGAATCTACAGTTGGGGGATATTGGTTGTATCTTCCTTCAGAGAAACAAAACAAAAACAGAGAGGGGATTGATATAATGTACACATCAACAAATCAAACAGTTTTTAAATATCAAGATGAAGCCACCATGATGATCAATGAAATTACTCGGAAACCACTTTCAGCTCCTTTCTTGGAGGATGATAATTATCTTTGGGAGTATGACTAGAATGAGAATCTTTAGAAGCATAGGGTGGATGAAGTTGGGGGAATTCGAGTTGATCTCCCGATGGTGCTAGATCGATTTTGACGAGGTCCATGTCACTGTGTACCACGAAAAAGGCCAAGCCCGTATGGTCAGTGTGAATGCACAAACTACACTCCTGAAAAATTTTATACCGCTTACCGAATCGTGCCATCCAATAGAGCAGCCGCCAAAGGCTGTCGTAGTTGCTTGGCCAAGGTCCTGTTAAGAGCACGCGCACCATAGATGCTATCATAGCCTTGGTCGGCCAACCAGGTCTTAGCCTTATCAGTCACTTCGAGCGTGATCCGTCGGTCGGCTAGGATCGCCTGTAGCTCGTGCAGTCGGATATCGACGATCTGACGGACGGATTGCTTGGCTAAGGAGTTGAAGACAACCAGCTCATCCAATCGATTGATCAGCTCGGGCGGGTAGGACATCTCGACCACTTTCCTGACGGCCTCTTTGGTGGCGTCGGTCACCTGGCCGGTCTTGCGGTCAATCGCTCCGGCCTCGTTGAGGATAGACGCACCCAGGTTCGAGGTCAGGACTATGATCGTGTTGCGGAAATCCACCTTTCGTCCCTGAGAATCAGTCAAGGTCCCCTCATCCAAGATCTGCAGCAGAATATTCGCCACTTCTTTGTGTGCCTTTTCGAACTCGTCCAACAATACCAGACTGAATGGCTTTCTCCGCACTTGTTCGGTCAATTGTCCCTTCAGGTTGAAGCATTCATCACATCAGTTGGGAAGCTGGACAAAGGTTGTACCCAGGTTGAATCACTTACTGCGTCCTCATACCCTACGTAGCCTGGAGCTGCCCCGATCAAGCGAGATACTGTATGCTTTTCGGAATATTCAGACATACTTGAAGGCAGAAAATTCGAAGAATAGTCAGCGCGAACTGTTAGTTAAAAAAAGATGTTGTTGACTGTGGGTGTCAAAACTGCTGGGTACACACTTGATTTGGATGAGTGATTTCTGGGTATCAAACAGAAAGCCTGCCAGCGTTTTACAAAGCTCAGTCTTCCCGACTCCAGTCGGTCCCAAAAACAGAAAGCTGGCAATTGGACGTGTAGGAGGGTTAAGGCCGGCGCGAGTGAGTCGAACTGAATCGGCGATCCTTCCTAGAGCTTCGTCTTGCCCAACGACCCTTTTCCGTAACTCAGATTCCATGGTCAGAAGCCTTTCGCGTTCACCTTTGATCAGGTTGCTAACGGGGATTCCGGTCATCTTGGCCACTACTCGTGCAATGTCATTGGAGGTTACCCGGTTAGAGACCAAAAGAGTGGCTTCAGACGGTTCTTTGTCATCTTCATCTTCCATCTTTTCCGCTTCCTTGATGGTCCGTTCTAACTCGGGTATGATACCAAAAGCTAGTTCTGAAGCACGTTGATAATTTTGTGCCCTTTAACATGATCGAGGGGGTCGTCAGCACTAAGATTTAGCAGTGACAGAAAAATAGGAGAGGCATGAAGGCAATCATTTGACATACCTCTGAGCCTCGATCAATTCCATCGTAGCATCTTGGAGCCTGACTTTGAGATTCTTGACTTCATCAAGTTTTTGCTTTTCGTTCCTCCATTTTTCATTGAGGGTTACTGCTTCTTTCTCGCAATCGGAGATTTCCTGCTTGATCTTGGCAATCCGGTTCTGAGAGAATTCATCCTTATCATTTTTTAAAGATTCAAGTTCTATCTGGAGGGTCGTGATCTGGCGTTCTAGACTTTCAAGCTGATCGGGCTTGCTTTCCTGCAATAATCTCAGCGACGAGGCGGCCTCGTCCACTAAATCGATAGCCTGCAAAGTGATGGTCGGACAGTATTAGTTGTCACTGGCTATCTTCATTGACAACTCGGCATAATTAATCAATGTAATTCCAAGAATAGAGTGCTCACCTTGTCAGGTAGGAAGCGCTCTGAAAGTATGTAGCAACCGCTTCAGTTTAGGTGTATGAGCGTCGAGAGAGTGTGGAGACGCAGATACATACCTGATATGTACTGGAAAATGTAAGATCAAACAATGAACATTGATCAGCTCTCTATATTTTTTGCTCACAATGGAAAACCCCATCTCAACAAAGCGGATTTAATGACTTACTCTATTAGAGTATGCGGCTGCTGTTACCAGGGCGCCGTCAGAGATACTCACACCATGGTGTCTAAATAAGGCAATACGGATCTGAGTAAGAATGCTTGAACAGGAAGCGAGTGAACGGATCTTACACTTCGTATCTGGGTTTGAGACCTCTCAAGATGCTAATGGTTTCGTTCACGCTAGGCTCGCTGACGAGGACAGACTGAAAGCGCCTTGCAAGGGCAGGATCCTTCTCTATCTTGCGATATTCGTCCAGAGTAGTACTACCCGCCAACTGTAAGCCTGTCAAAAAAGACCTGTGATAAGTTGACTGTATAGTAAAGTTTGGAATCTCTGCGATGTGAAAACTTGAATTAGGTTTACCTCTAGCTAGCGCTGGCTTTATCATGTTCGCCGCATCAATAGATCCCTCTGCTTTCCCCAGGTTCAGCAGGGTGTGTATCTCGTCAATGAACACGATGACTTTTCCTTCTTCGGCCTGGTGAACCACATCGATCAGTTTGGCTGGGGTTCATCTGAGGTCAAGTCAGGATTACTTACCTCGATATCTGCCAGCAAAGCTTTGAACTTTTCTTCGAAAGCACCCCGAAGCGCAGTCCCTGAGACTAACGTTGCAAGATCAATGGAGATTACTGTTCCCAAGTAAAGTTGTAAGTGATGTGTATGAGGGCTGTTTATATTGGACATCCGATTAATCTGTTTTGAAACTGACCTCGCTTTCCCTGGATGCTTTCTGGTACTTCTTTGTTCAATATACGCTGGGCCAATCCTTCCATGATCGCGGCTGTGGGGACATCAGATTCGGATTAATCAAGGTTTCACTACGATTCAGATGATGGAGCATTCTACTTACTTTTCCCGACTCCTGCTGGACCAATGAGAATTGGATTGGACTGGAGAGGAGGGATTAGTGGGCAATTTTTTATCTCAGTAGCTGAGTGCTCATGCGTACCTTTGTCCTACGAGACAAGATTTGGATCGAGCGTTTGATTTCCTCAGTTCTACCGATACACGGATCCAATTCACCCTTTTTGGCCTTCTCGCTCAAGTCGATCCCAAATTCTTTGAGAGCATCGCCAGCTTTTCTTTCCGGCTGTTGCCCAAAAATGTTTCCCAACGGGAACCCACCTCGAGGAGGCGAAGGTCCCTGAGCGCATCGAGTCGGGCTCTGACTGAACCATCGCGGTGATGGAAAATGATTTGAATGATCCTTTCCGGGCAACGTGTTTAATTGATTCCTTCGGTGATTTGTCAAATGGGAGATCGAACGCATCTCTCGGTTAAGAAGGCTCCTCCGGCCTGTATTCCAAGCACTACATCGAGAATTCCTCAATGATGCTGATACCGTCCGAGATGTGAACATTGCTGCTTGTATGTCTTTGCTTCTATCAACTTGCTGAAATATGGTCTGAGCGTGGATGTGACCACAAGGTGTAGTGTGTGTTGTAGGTCAAGTCCAAAGGGGTATGACGTTGTTGTCGACACCGGTGCTACAGTTTTATCCTTCGGCTTTCAAGAACGGTTCCAACCTGGATATCTCCCAGTTTCCATTCAGCGTACTGCGTAGATCTTCCTATCACATTCTCGAACATCAAATCAAGTTTTCCAGAATGTATGCGCTTCTGTGAGTTGCTCAAGTCTTTCCATTTGGTTCTGGTGAGATCCAGAAAGTGTCGCCATTCACACTTGCTTCCGGCGCGCAAAGGAGTCAGCTGCGGAGGGCTCCGAAGCGCAGTCTACCCCTCCCGGAGGCCGCTCGCTTGGCGCACCGCGAGGCAACTTTTACCCAGACACCTCAAGAAACCCTCAGATTGAAAGTTGAACTTCACGGTATGTACCCATCCTAGGCTTACAGGTATGTAGGATTGCGAAACGAAGCAGTTAAACTTCTGAGGATTCTTGAAACACTAACTTAATCAAGTTCCCCCTCCGAATACAGAATGGCTTCATTAAGTTAGCTTGAAACACGTGTCACGCGTTCCGGTTCTTGGGAGAAGAATGGCCGCAGACATGTGTGGTCGTACTGTATTGTGGCCCCCTTCTATGCACCTCAGACGATGTACTCCCGTGTCTCGTTGATCGGTGTTTTGACATGAAACTCATTGCGGTAATCGGTGCCAATGGGTAAAAAGACTCAGGCATAAAGACACGCTGCCCTCTGTGATGTAAGCTATTGATTACCACCAGCACTTTTTCGACCTCCCACTCGCGAAGAAAATGCATACGAGACGCCATGGAGTTGCTATTCTCGCCTTTTGCTTCTTACAAGCAACTGTGTGCATGTACCTGTCTGAGCCATCCCGGGGCAGTGAAGCGGCAAGGTTAGGGGATCAAAGTACGTGAAAATGAGACATGTACCTCGTTTCTTCCTTTCAAAGTTTCTCATGTTCCAGTAACGCTGATCGCATCATGTTTTGCAACTGTCATTACCTGTAACTAAAACAAGACTTGCGAGCGGAGGCTTCGAATACGTTGGCAACTCATGGTGCCGCAAATGGCCGCATCGGTGAAAATTCCGAAGGTGGCGCGAAGCCTAAACTTAGGATCTCCCGACCATTTGGTGGTACCATCACGAAGTCCAATGGAAAGACTGAGATAACTTTAACAGGTGAGCTCTGTATTGAAACATCTGATTCCCGGCGCAAGAGCTAGAAGTTGGCTGAAAGGGATCACTTTCTGGTGATGCACAGCGGCAGCGAAATTGAAGGTTGGCTCTGAAGAATGGAAAAAAAGTATTGCTCTCCGTCGATTTGATTTAGTTTTCAGGAATTTACGGCACTGACTGGCATTCATCCCAGGTGAAACCCAGTCGATGAGAAAGAATTTCCAACTTTTACGAAAAACCGTGGCGATTCTCAAACATAGAATAACTCGTGATTACACATACGTGTTTTTCTTACGCAGCGAGAAGACGAGGAACTTTTTGGATTACATCGAGGAATTAGAATCGGTTCACGAAATCCTGTTGACACCCATACAAAATCGATTGTTTAGATTAAAAGACCACTCGTTGATAATTTCTCCCCATGAGCTTGAACTTAAACCGGCGGAGGTAGCAACTACATCTCAAACACAAGCAGCAAAACAGAATTCCATGTAAGTCCATCCTTGCCTATAATAAGTTTAGCAGTACAAACCTAGAAGAATAAATGTGGAAAATATCACGTGAGAAGTTGATGTTGTCACTGCACTGAATAAAACAGAGAGAAGGAAAAATATTCATCCGCCCCTTCTCAAGAAAAAACTTTAGAATCTGGCGAAACCAGTTCGAGGAAGTCTAATCCGCCATCAAAAACCCCTGAAACAACTCTGGAATCAGGAGAATTAAGCGGAAATGCTCTTGATGGGACCCTTGACAAGATCAATTGGGATTTGCTGGTGGATTTGAACGATTTGTTGAAAAGGATCAGCACGGTCGAAGTGTGGAAGCAGGCTAAAAAAGGACCATGGTATCAACACACGTTGGACCTCCAGCAAGCGATTTTCCAAACCGTTGATTTCATGTACAGCCATGAATTGATAACAAAGGAAACTCTTCAGAGATTCTTTGGACTTAAAGGATCGCTAGGTATAGCTTCATACATTATGGCAGCAGATGGGGCTTGGGTTGGTGTTGTATTTTCTAGGAAGTTTAAAAGCATAATAAGCCCCACCCACCCTTATTCAGACGCTTATTCCAGAGTAGTCCATGAAAGTAAGTTAAAATATCACTTTTCACAAGGCAATTTACCGTAAGACTCAGCTAACTTGACCTATGTTTCAAAATCAATGTCAAAAATAATTCCCCTGGGATTTCAAAAAGTTATTCAGGAAAGAAATGCGCAAAAAATTGGAGATTTGTTGTCTACCTGAAATGCTCATATAATTTAAGCTTGAAAATTGTGTCAAAACTTCTCTTGTCCCTTGGATTTACTCATGTTTCAATCTACTTTCTCTGGTTTTTTTGAAATATTTTTATCATCAGTTAGTTTGATTAATTACATGCATATTGAAGGCTTCCAGTTCAGATTTACTAGTGCCACAACAACTCAAGCCCAGGTCAAGCTTAAAATTCCCTGAGCGTCACTTTCAGCAATGTGCCAGGATGATATCTCAAGGGGTCAATTTCTATGTGTGCAATCTCAGTCTCAGTGTCAATTTTTTTCTTGATGTTTTTTCTTCACTCATGATACATGTGTAAAGCATTCTTTTGTCATATTTCTCTTTTATTTCTTTCCAGTTGAAGTATTATTGCTACTGACAATACATATTTCCCTTCTGCTATCTTAATCTCAGTCTCTTACACAAGTTTTGGGATTGTTTTTGTTTTGAAAAATTGGGGAGGCACCTGTGATCAATGATTGCACATTTCTTATGTTGACAGCATATTCACATGGATTTTTTTTGTGGTTGTCTCATTGATTTGATACTTTCAGTGGGATTTTTTAAGATTTCACCAGATTTTGTTTTTACTTCCTATTAGCCATTTGATTTATATTCAATAAACTTCAAGGCTAAACACAGCTTTTCTCCGCTGAACTGGTGGTAGATTTTTCATTATTGCTACAGCTATTTCGGAAAGGGTTGTCCACTTGGACTCGCGAAATCTTTTTTATTTTTTTATTTTTTTTATTTTTTATTTTTTACCGAACTGGACCTGTCAGAACTGAACTATCGATGACAGCTGTACCTCCTCGGCTGTAGTTCAGTACAAAGAAAAATTTAAAAATTTTCAAAAAAAAAAAAAAAAATTTGAGAGACAACTGGACAACCCTTTCCGAAATAGCTGTATATAAACATATACAAGCAATTGCCCAAAAGGCAACCCCTGTTGTCACCACAGGGCCCTAGTCCAGAGATTTGGGACTCTCTCGAAGCCCGATCGGATACGGAGCCGTCCGATCAACCCGAAATACGAGCCAGATGCCTTCGACTGCGCAAGTTTTAGCTGGATTCCGCAGGTCGCACCGAAATTCAAAACTCGCGCGGTCCCTAGCTTAACAAAGCCCCTCGATTCGTCGGGCCAGGTTTGGCGGGCGCAAGCGCCCCTCGCGAAGCGAGCCTCCGAAGGAGGGGCTTGCCAGGGATGTCGGACATCTTAGCCGTGAGCTTTTGAGTTTTTGGTGGTAGATTATTGCCATGATGTTTTGGCCTTCTCGACCGAGGAAATTTCCGACTCGTGTAGTACCGCCGGACAGGTGTCGATCTCGCCCTCCCTATCATGCAACATGGGACCAGTCCTGCCTTCACCAAGGGATTCATGGTCGTTTGAAGGGGGGCATTTAGGTTGTTTGACCTTTGAACTTTCGGCCTCTTTCCCTGTATGTGGTAGCATCATAAACTGTACTCTAGTAATACTATCTCTCTTGCATACAACATATAATTGGATATAATATGATGATAAAACCAAATCACCGTCATTGAAGTTTCAAGCCTTGTTGAATAACTTGTCCAAGAATTCCTTGAAGGACTGGGTCTATCATTTCCTTTATTCCTCACAAACCGTTGCCCGACATGGCAACGAATCATCCGGTGGTCGATGAGAAAGTCTTGCAGGTCTGCAAACACCTGAACTCACTGCCGACAAAAATTACACCCAAGGTCTTCATCTCGCGGTTTCTTCAATCAGGCCATTCCGATTTGCCACTCCTCCGAGGACATTGGGCCGGCGATAAAGGCATCAACACAACAATGGAGCTTGTTGAGACTTTGCGGAGTGTGATTAATAAGACTAGTGTCGGCCGTTCAGCTTGGAATGCTTTCATCCAGGCTGAGGTATGCTATCGCTTCCTTTTGGGTTTTATCCATTGTTGCTGAGTTCACTTGTATTTTTGGCTTGCAGGCAATCAAAATTCTGATAAAGCAGGAGCCCCCAAGAGGTAACTATCCTCAAGGAGGTTTCCATAGCTCTTCTACAGTCGGTGAAGATTTCTTCACTCCTGAGGCCAAGGAGGAGCATGAAAGGCGACTGACCGAAGAGCATATGCCTTTCCTGTTTGGCATGTTGATGGGGATGCTCGATCGTGATGGCTGCAAAACCACCGTGGCAGAGGAAGAAGAGGTTCCATTGCCTTGTGGTGTGTCTGCCACCGAGGACGGTCCTGACGAAGTGGGAGACATGTTTTATGAAGTGGAACCCTCATCGGAAGCTCAATCCCATCAGCGATTGCACAGGGTCAGTGAGCAATTCAGGTCAATTATGTCCTAATAATCTCACAACACACACTTCTTTGTAGATTGCGACAACCGTCACCTCCATGTTAGCTTTTGCTAGAAACCGACGACAAAACGGTCTGCAGCTGCACAACTCTGTCCGTTTTTTCTCAACAGGGATCTCAGAGCGAGTACAAGAATATCTCAACTATATTGGTTTATCTTCGGCTCGCACTACTGGGATGGCAGCGTTGGAGACGCTAGCATACAAGAGCGCTGATACGTTGAAGATGATCATGGATACACACAAGAATCTGCCAATGGCACCGTCGATTTGCATTGACAATATAGATATTGAGCAACGAGTTCACCAATCCTCAGTCGGAGTCCGCTCAAACACGTTCCGAGGTACCTGGGGGTACATTCATATCCCTGACAAGAAGCTCATTCAAACACTTGACTTATCAGAGATAAATCTCTTAGCTTATACCGAAGCCTTGAAGACAGTGGCCTCAATGGAAATCAAACCTCGCATGTTTCTCCCGACCGAGTCAGAGGAAGAAATTGAGCTTAAGGTCTGGAAATCTCAAATCGCCAAGGTCTTGTATGAGTACATTGCTGTCCCAAACAATAAATCCACAGCAGTCCAAATGGTGCCCCCAGTGGTCGATCAGATTAGCCATGAGGCCCCGGAGCTTCATATGTTGAAGCTGATTGATGCATCCGACAATTCTGCAGAAGGAGTGGGGCAGGTATTTCGGGTCATTATTGAACAGAGCGGCCTGACAGTCAAAGAATTTTTTTCACGGTTTCAACCCATGGATGGAGATCTTGGGACTGTTCAGAACTTCAACTGTCTCCGAGGTCAGAGGTCTCCAAGCTCGGTCCCTCAGAACCGGCTGGATAATATCTTGTTTCAACTTGGGGCTTCACATACCCTTTGGAATGTGGCCTCGACTATATTTACCCATCATTTTGGGCAACCAAGTGACATGTCTAATTGTGGCGCTTGGCAGCACTTGGAGGCTCTCGGTTTCCCGTCTGAAAAGGCCATACAGAAAAAGGATTTCACCCTTATGGTGAACCAGATGGAACGCATTTTTGAGGCAATGGTCCTCTACTTTTTGCGGTAAGTTTGTATTTTCTAACAAAGCTTGCTTGAATGATCTCTGGATACTAATATGGTGTGTGTAGGGTGGTCATGAACACAAACAGCCATGAGTGGACAGGTCAGAGGACACAGATTCCAACAATACAGTTCAATGCAATTGTGGAGGAATGTTACACCCGGTTCTTTTCTACTCAAGCAAGAAGTGAGGCGGCAAGCCTGAAGTGCCCCAAGTTTAGCAATACCCTGTTACAATTACATGATTTCTCCACGGTTGTGGAGGCGAAACGATCTATGAGGTCTGGCGATGTTGGACGGCTCCTGTTGATATGGAAGAAGTGGTCTCTAATGGCTCAGGCTCTACCTGGGATTACAAATTATTCATCTTACCTTCCAAGGACAGTCCTCCTCCTGACAGTGATTAGTCCACCATCCATGGCTAAGTTCTTAAAGCATAACTTGCTTTTCTCACCAACTGGGCGTCCCAATCACTTTGTTGCAAAAGACCAATGGCTGGAGGTTCAAAACTACTGGCTTAAGTTCTTATTCAACAGGAGTGGAAATGGAACAAACATCGATCGCCTACGAGACTTAATATCACCTAATATCTTCTTGGTGTGTAACACTGTCAGCCTTCCCCTCTTGTCATATTATCATTGCTGATTCAGGATGGCGTCTGATTCAGCTCCAGAGGATGTTTCATTCACTCAAAGAGGACTGTGGAGCCAAGCTTGTCAGACAGTCACACAAGAACTGTTTACCAGCTAATTCAATTATGACGTTCACTCAGATGGCAAACAACCGCGATATCATTTCACAGTATTCAAATAGTGAAGGGCAGGATATCAAAAAAATAGACAACACATATACATTGGGCATTAAAAAAATGAAGAAGACCCTTTCTCAGCAACGGAATGAGATTGTTAAATTCAAGAAGCATCTTCTACACATCAACACCAATCAGGATGAACATGCAAACGAGGGGGAAGATGAGGAGCCTAGGTCCTCTGATATGTAAATAGTGTGTATCAAACAGTTTTAGAAATGAAATATGCCTGATTTCCATTGCTAGATTGACTGTGTGGGTTGTCCGTGTGATGAGTCTCCGGCCCAATCAGCTGTGCCGCCCGCGAAGAGGCCATTATCTGTTGGATTTGCTCCTTCCTCCTCTGGGTTTTCTCTTCCTCCCGCCGTTTTGCTTCCTGTCGTTCAAGTGCCTTCCGACGGCTTTCAATGGCTGCCAGCTCCTTCTTGTTTGGTTGCCGTGGGGTTACAACTTGCAGTACTGATCTGTCCATTGGCGCAGAGGTTGATTGAGCACAACTGGTAATCTGTTTGGCCTTTTTGGCCAAGGGGCCTTTCTTTGAGGAAATTTGAGGGCTAATTGGTTCCAGCTTGTAATTTGTGATCCAATTGAATAACCAAGATGACTGTCCTGCAAAGCATTCTCCTCCAATGATCCATTTGAGATAAACCGGATCAGTTATATATTCCAACTGAGCCAGAATAGCGAGACAATCGTCCATGTCGAAAATGTCTGAGCCTTGTGTGGATCCCCCAGGTCTCACATTGGTTTCATAGTGATGGTTGAAGTCATTCATGAGCATTGTAGCAAACTGATCCATCTCAGGCACATCATCTTCAGTGAATTTTCGTTTTTTGATCCCTGGTGCCTTTTGGGGGTATTTGTGCTTGATGTTGTAGGTACTTGTAAGCGTGAAATTGTTGTTCAAGATGTCATCAAAATTTTCATTATTTGCTACTGATAGGGCTTCGATCAATGTTGCTGCCTCGACCGGGTAACAGTTGGAACATTCACATTTAGCCATGCCCTCCTTTTTCTCCCTATCAACCTCTGCGATGTATGCAGGGTCGTCCTCCCACAGCGGAATGTAGCCAACACTGTCCATTACCCCAAAAAGTCAGTCTAGGAATTAGATTCAATGTGCAAAAGACAATTTGGACTAACCTGTTATCCAAGGCGAATGCTACCCGCAGACAAAGTGCCTGCGCTATATGGCGCAAGTGCATCCATC